GATGCATTCATGGTGAAACTATTCCAAACCCAAGATTAGAATTGTGTTATTATGCGACTCAGATATGACTCTCAGTATAACTACTACACCTCTGTTAATAAAGAGATTAATACCTAAGTATAACTACTACACCTTCTGTAATAAGAGAATATATACTCCAGTTAACTTACTACACCTCTGTATGAAAGAGATTATATACTCCATATCAATACTACACCTCTGTAATAAAGACACACTAGGAACTATTAACTATACCATAACCATTTAGAGGCAGGTACAGCCAACTCATTTGCTAGCATGCAGGGAAGCCTATCTGGCACAGCATTGCTGGAAGGGCCATAGAGGGCACTTTATTACATCTCTCCACTGGGCGAGAACCCTAGAGGGCACTTATCACATTTTCTTGCACATTGGGCCACCATAGAGGGAACATTATCCCCACAGTTTTATCTCCCAGTGCCTCCATGCATAACTAGTGTTAAAGTGAAAGACTGCAGCAGATTCATACAACTGAAAATCATTTGGGAACAAATCAACACGGCAAACAAAATTACTTTTATTTGCACAGTTGTGAAGCTTTCAGGGATGCAACAATTTCTAATTGAGTATTAGGTAAACTATGTAAACAACAGTTTAGATATAATCAATATAGTTTGCGGTCCCAAAATGTGATTGTCCTTACAGCTCAAACAGAGCTCAGAGAGAAAGCCGTTGTGATCTCTGAACTCATGCATGAAATAATACTCTGCAGCTGAGAGCTCAGAAGACCCAGTGTGTTTACAGCAACTGTCATATCTCTGGAAGATCAATCCATTTGTTGCTGTCAGTGCTTAAAATGTTTTCCATGCCCCTGCATTACATTCTATATCAATCAGTATGATTAGATATATCATATCTATTTAGCTTTTTTATGTGCAGCCCCATCTGTCTGTAGCCTTCTGTGCTCCTGTCACACTGGCCAGAGCTTTTAAAGACTTATAATCTCAGTTGGATTTCACTTGTTAACAAAAGTTAAATGAATCTTTTTTGCAATGACAATACAAAAGAGAGTAAAAAGCAGAGACTTGGCTAGTAATACTAATGTACTAGTGTAGTGGAATGACCTTCACTCCCTTGGTAAGGCAAGTCAACCAAATTCTGCTTGCGAACTTGTGACACGTGCCAACTCCTGTTTCCCTAAATGAAGCAAAAGATAAAATGTGTTGTGTTTCAGGTTACTAATCCACAGTAGCTCAGATGAACCTTCTGTTATCCCCCGTCAAGACCCCTGGAATGCCAGTCTGGCACCACTCTCCTCTCAGTGAAATGTGTCTCTTGTCGCACCCTCCTCCTTTCCCCCATGAAATTTAACAACAGGAGCCTTTTTGCTGAGTTGCATTTCTCTATCTCCACTGGAGATAGCTGGTTGCATGTGCAGAAGTATTCCTCGTGCATATCAGAGCCTTGCTGGTCTTGCACACTGCTGACACGTCTTGACCAAAGAAGTTAGTTCTCTCAAGAGAAAAAGTGAAAAAATGTAATACTCTTTTTTCCTTTGTCAGAACCAGCAGACAAAACATTCCTTTATTTGTTATTTATTCAGATAAATCATGTTCCTTTTAATGCTCTACTTGTTACTCAGCTCCTCTTCAACTGATTCTGTCTGTAACAAGACACTCTTGCAGTTAACTGTAATATTTATTGTGATAATTAAGTGTTTTATTGGTGTTGCATGGTAATTTTTTTTATTTATAATGTACAGATACGGTTTAACAAACCTGCAAATATACCCAATGAAATTAATAGACATAAATTGTGGAAGAAGCTTCCCCTGATTGTACATACATGCCCCTGCAAACCTACAAAAAACATACTACATTTATTTGACAGCTTTAGTCACTAAATACTTTGACAAAATATAAATCAACTAAAAGTGAAGTATTTTTATACGTTTCAGCAGTTTATTAAGTCTTCAGAATTACCCCCACCTTGAGCTGCAACATTTAACTGATGTTTACACATAAATGTCCAACATGACAAAGTAGAATAAAAAGACCAAAGCCCACTGAAGCCAATGGACTCTATTTGACAAACACAAGGGCTCCATTGAGAAACATTTCCTCTGCAGTAGTACCACATCTCTAATATTTGTGTCCAATTGGGCATCCTAAATTAAAAAGAGCAAAATATGTAGTTTAAGCTTCCGTTTGGGACAATTGTTGTGTCACTCAATGATTCAAGACAATCTGAAAATCCAATTTTATAAAGAAAATTTTAACTGAGTCAAGTAATGTTTTCTCTCTAGGGAGACACTCTTAAGGGGGCAATTATCATTGTGCTAAAATGTTACATATCACTACTGTGTTGCAGATTTAGAGAATTGTAGAGTGAAGCTGAAGGAGCCTGGCATGGCATCCTTAATGTAACTCAGCCCATGCCACAGCTGGTATTGCATTATAGTAGTGTGTGATGGGCCCTCTGCCAATCTGCCCACTGTCTCTTTGAGGGAAAGAGCCCATGGTCGAAACTGTTAGCCAGTCTCAGCTTACAAAGGCCACAGACAGAGCCTTACAACCCTGTCTGTGAATCAATTCAAAATGGAGGTCGGGGCTACAAAATGGCAAAAGTCATTTGAATTTATAGCATGAAATGAAAGCTGAATTAGTTCTGTAAAGAAAACACTGTGTGAAGATCTGGTGACACTGGTCATGAGTGTGTGTATGATTGGTATGGAGCTTGAGCGGGGAGTCAGAGTGAGATTTTGACACTGGTTGTCTAAATGTCAGTCCTCTCTCAACAACCTCATGAACCTCTCTGTAATAAACACTAGTTTATGAACTGGGGCCGAAACCATGGTTGCTTTCTTTGTGCTGACTACTCTCTCTAGTGGTGAATCATTGAACTGAAACTGTTGGTGGTGATCTGGATTACACACTGTATTATTATACCCTATTTATAAGTAATGACAACAACAACAAAAAAACAGCAGGTTTTCTGAAGCCACATAAGAAAAGCTTATAATAATAAATATATATATAGAGTATTTTGAGGATTTTAAAGTCAAATGTTAGTAATGTGATTGACTTAATATGTGGCACATGTTTGAAATAAAGTGTTTTAGATTATATAACTTTGAAGTATGAGTTCAAGTCATTCAACATATGTGATACTGAACCAAATAAATAAAGATATGACCAAAACTTGATGAACTGAAGCTGCACAACCAAATTATTTTCTAGTGATTTATTGAGGAAACTGAGAACTACAAAATCCAGCCATAAAACAGTTCCAGTGTCTTTAAATACAACCTTCTGCGCCTGCTTTACTTAGTCCTTGAGCTTGTGCATTATATTTGCTGAGAAGAAACACCGTTAATGCAAATCCACCTTGTTACCTTGAGTTCAGCTAAAGGCTCACACAGAAATGCCGTGTGACAGTACAGCAGAGAAAAGAGTGTCAGCTTAATAAACATTTCTGGTGGAGAAGCCCTGTGGAATACTTAACTACCTCCTTTTAAGAAATGCTTTAATGAAATACATAAAAAGTTAAAATGGAGTACACCTCAAATGAGCCAGTTCCTCTTTTTTTTTTTTGGTGACACACAAAACATAATCTACAAAACAGTTCACAACAAAAGGATAATTATAAAACTATGACATGAATAATGATTCATTACATCAAATATGTGCTGGATCTGAGGTCAGCGCACTGTACAGAAAATGTGTCTTGTGGCCCAGCATGTAGACAGAAATTAGCTATGCAGTTGTATTTAGGTTTGTCTTGGTCAACAGTATACTGAAATAAAGGGTGTATAGGTTAAGTTTTTATTTACTATATTCCACAAGCAATGGTTTGTGTGCTTGTGGTATTTAGCTATCAAAGAGATTTATTGTGTTAAGTTCTTTTATTCTTTTATTTATGATCACAGTCACACACCCTGCTTTATAATACTGGTTTCAGCATACAGAATCATACATAAAAACCCGCTCTCCAACACCTTTCTGCTTCATACATGAAGAATCATACACAAAACCTGCTGTTCCTGGCCTCACAAAATGTTTCGCAAAAAAGAAATCAAACATCTAAACAGCTCCTCCAGACCATCAGCGTGTGGGCGACAGGTGTGACTCATCCGCTGGCTGATCTTGATGTTTCAGTCCTTTTTTATCTTGCAGCAACTGAAACAGACATAACAGCAGGGGGCAGGTGATGAAATCACACAAGGATAAAACCACATCTGTGTGATCAAAAAATGAGATCTGTATCCAACCTGCTCAACATAATGCTGTGAATTGTGTTCTGATGATCATTTGTACGTTCAACACTAGACGGCACTGTTGCATTGACTAGGTACAATAGGACAGTATGTCGTATTGATAAGGACCATGGTGGGAAATGTTCCCAGGTTCTCTGATCCAAATGCTAATCTGAAACCAGTGGTACACTTTCCTGTAGCCGACCTGAACTCATTGTATTACATTACATTTAGGATTGTTGGTGGTACCTCCTCATATGGACTTTTTAAGCTAATTAAGTCAGCCAAAAGGCAGTTTTTGTTAGTGAGCTTTCCGTTCATGACCGTGGGATTGCTGAAGGTTTTATCTGTGTGGAGTGCAGTATATATGTGCAACAAGTTTAGCAGTCAGATAAGAATGTATAAAGCTACAATCCAAAGAAATTTAGTAGTCTGTAACAACATAAACACTTTCTTCCTCAGCAAAATTCCTAAAGCATGACTCAATTTCCCTCTAAAGCTCGCAGCCAAGTCATGGAGGCCTGATTGTATTAGGGAAGGAAGGCAGGACATGCAGTGCCCAGATTTCTGTTTTTTTCACGGGTGGGGTGTAGAGGTATTGAGCCTGTTTACAAACCATGTATGACACATGCTCACCCGTGGATGTGCACATACATTCACCTCACTGACAAACAAGCACACGCCTGCAGCGTCTGGGCTACACTGACATTTACTGGCTGTACAATAGCTCCTGTCCAAAATAATCTGTGTTTATGTTAGGAAGTCCCTATCTTTCAAGCCCTGCTGCTTGTTCGAGGGTGGGGGCGCAAAATCACAGGAAACACCTTCTGTTGGCCAGCAAACCCCCACAAGCCTGTACAGTACAATGAGATATTAAAAGCCTGAAACTTCCCTGGAATAATTGCAAGTCTGTGTCTGGAGAAACAGCTTTACCAAGTAATGGAAGAATGCACAAACAGAAGGAACTTGGAAGGACCGCTCGCAGGAAATAGATGGAGGCAGCTCACCATTTTCTTCTCCGCCTGATGACTTCACGCCGAGGAGCATGACACCATCTTTGGTGCTTTCAGGTCTGCTCTGGAAAGATGCGCTGTGAGAGAGCACCAGAGGAAAAGGGATGAATGTTTTAGTTGTTCACACACCTTTTAAATTCAGGCCATAACTACTAGGTTCAAACTTACTTCTCAGTTCCAGTATCGATGGTTTCTGTCGAACAGAAGACCAGAGAAGACATTAAATATATATATATATTTTTTATCTCATTAAGTATCAAAAATATGGATCTTCTCAGGATTGTGTGTAGGATTTAGTGGCATCTGGTGGTGTAGTTGCAGATTACAGTTCCCTCGCTTCACCCACCCGTAAGACACCAGTGGCCGGTAAACACATGAGAAACACAAATAGGATCTATCTTCAGCCAGTGTTTGGTTTGTCCCTTCTGGGCTACTGTATAAACATGGTGGTTCAACATGGCTGCCTCCATGTTGAAGGTAACACAACGATTCATATGATTATACACTAATGAAAAAACATAGTTATATATATTATATTCCATTTCTGCCTCCTAAATGTTACACACTGGACCTTGATCCATTAATAATTACACCTCAGAGTTGACAGTATATTGATGCACTATGTGATATACAGTATATTAGTACATTGTGCAACCCAAATGTATATATACCTGTGTGATCGTGGATCTTCTTGCATTTGAACCTGAGGACAATCATCGCAGCAGCTACAACCAGGAGGACGGGCAACAGAATCCACCACAGCCTTTTGTCTGAGGGTAAAATTGAAGGAAACATCAATGTAGTTTTAATTGTCTCGCAAAGTGGTCAGATTTTGGTTAAATTTGGAGGTATGATGTGTAGTTATGATGCAAAAGTAATTGGTTTGCTGTGGGATATGACAAGGTATTTTTTTAGCACACTAGCATCATAGCTCAAGTATCTGTCAGTTGGTCCACTATTTTGGTCCAGACTTAACAATGACTGGATGGATAGCCATTCAGTTTTCCTCAGTGGCATTTGTTACCCTAGCGCCCCCATGAGGTTAAGATCTGTGGGATGGATTGGCATAAAATTTGGTGATCCCTTAACTTTTCATCTAGCACAGGTTGTGAAACTTTAGTGTAGTTTTTCACCTAATACAAACAAAACCAGTGACATAGCCATCAGTGTCAGCTGTACGTTGTATTGAGTGCCAGTTAGGGAATGTTGGCATGCTAAACTATAATGGTGAACATGGCAAACATATACCTGCTTAGCATGTCACTGTGAGGCTGTTTGCAACTGCTACATCTGAGAGTGTGTGTGACATGGTTTGTTGGGGTATGACTGAGTTCAACAGAGGACACTTTAGTAAAGTTCAGTACATTACCTGATTTCTCATCACTGCCAGTCTGGGAACCTTTCACAGTAGAGTTTTTGATTAGTTTTCTGCTACTTGTTCCTTACCAGTATGATTAAAAACTAATTATGATTTCTTTCATGACTTCATATGCAGCACGGCTTACCAGTCATGTTATTTCCAGGCTTTCCACCTGAAGGTTTTGTCATCCCTGGAAGTGGTACAATCATATTGAAAAGAATGAATTACTTTCTTAAATACGTGTCAATCGACATCTTAACAACTGCAGAATTCAGAGTATACATAGATTTTAGATAGAGTTTTACTATATGTCACATATCACAAATACAGGATATCAGCTTTAAGTTCTGATGTGCTTTTAAATAGACATTCTCATTGTGTGACGTATGAAACAGTTTGAATAAAATGATCCACCTCACAGACAGTGTATCAACTGTCAAAGAGAACATTTGTGATCATATGTCATATTATGTTGGAATTACATTTGTTTTTATAAATGCAAATGCTGAAATATAAATACTAAAAGAAGAAGGAGAAATAGGAGGATGTTCTGTAAAAGACAAAACACATACAAAGTAGTGTGTGAATGATATACTGTACCTGGGGAGGCAGGACTAGTTGTACCTGTAGAAAATTAAGACCAGTAGCTTCATTTGAGTCAGACTTGGAATAATGTTTGTGTCTACATTTAACTTCTTAAAAACATCCTTTTTAATCACAAGACAATCATGGAAGGAAGCAGTGATGTTGTGTTCATTTGGTACATACCTTTGCTTGTTTGGGGTTTTTCAGTGCTGTCATCAGGTCCTAACAAAATTCAAACTGTTTTACACACCGCTTTAAACACAGTTGTTATTTTAGATTACATTCAGCATGGTGACACCTTGCTCCCAGTTAAACCCATACATTATCAAGTTTTACAAGCTGTATCTTCTGTCTTAATTGTCAATTTTCTACTTGGGATTTTTCATTCCTGAAGTTCTCACTTGGGCTTAATATCTTATATCAATGATAAAAAATATATTCTACCGTCACTTCGACTGATTATGGCAACATAATAAACTACTTGCAATCTTTTTTTATTAGTTAAAATGGAGGACAACTGACAACTTGTCACAAGACAATCATGGAAGGAAGCAGTGATGTTGTGTTCATTTGGTACATACCTTTGTTTGTTTGGGGTTTTTCAGTGCTGTCATCAGGTCCTAACAAAATTCAAACTGTTTTACACACCGCTTTAAACACAGTTGTTATTTTAGATTACATTCAGCATGGTGACACCTTGCTCCCAGTTAAACCCATATATTATCAAGTTTTACAAGCTGTATCTTCTGTCTTAATTGTCTGTCTTTAAGTAAAGAGCACACAAGCTTGCTCATTACTGATGATGCTAGTTGTATCAACTTATTCTTACCTGGAGGTTCAATGTTTGTCATGTTATGAGAATGGTTCCCATGAGATGTTGGTTGCAAAGTTTGATTTTCCAAAGCTAATAGAGGAAGGGTAAAAAATTATAATTTTAATATATATATATATACAAGTAGAGTTGATTTAACTGCTCATTTACATTATTTTTGTACCATAGAATGTGTGAAAACACAGTTGAAACCATGACATACAGCTGTGTATCATCAATAAACTTTAAACCAAAATTTAAAAAATTAAAAAATCCAACTTTTACTGGCTGTAGACTCAACTCCTGGAGGTGGGGTGGTAACATCCATGTGGCCTGCAGCTGGTGCAGTAGTTGGTACAGCAGGATGCTTAGTTGCTTTTAAAATAAAAATGGGAAATCAATCAATCATTCCATTTTCAGGAACATTGGCCTAGGTCTATTACAAATTGCAGACTAAATAAGCCCATGAGTTAGAAGCATTGTATGTATTTATCTATTTGTCTTTGGTACAGTGACTTCCTCGCACCATTCTTAGTAGATGTGTTGGTGGCACTCTCAAGAACAACGACAGTAGATGTTGGTGCTTCTTTGGTTGTCGATGGCGCTGCTTGTGGGGCTGTTGATGATGCTGCTTTTGGGGTTGTTGCAGGTTCTGTTTTTGAGATTGTTGTAGGTTCTGCTGCTGTTAATACTCCTGCTAAAAAAAGACACTGACATGTAAATAGCTGCATAAGATCTATAAACAGAACTCAACTATGGCCATGTATCTGTTATCGTTTTAGAGCAGTCTGGGCACAACAAGAAAAGAAAAAATTAAGGAATGTAAACTCTAAATTTATATTTTGACCCAACCAAAGATCCCACAGAGCTGTTTTTCAACTGCATAAAAAAATTGGGAAATATGCTTATTTGCTTTCTGGAAGAGAGCTAGATGAGAACACTCCCATACCTAGAGTGGTGTTTCCGCCAGAAAGCAAATAAGTGTATATTCCAAACGTTAGAACTTCATTATTACTATTGCATTAATGCCATTTACACCCTCATCTCGGAGGTCAGTGGACAAGATCCAAAACGTACGTGTTATCTAGGAATTACTTCCATCATGAAAACCCTAGAATTAGTATGTCTACGTAAAACATTTCCTCAGACGGATTAACTATTTTAGATTTGCATCATTCCTGTTTGGCACAGCTTTAAAGTCGAGTGTCTGAGAAAAGGGCGTGCCCTCGCCCCGAGTGTCAGACTTGGGAAGAGAAGTCAAGACAGCGGTGGAGGTTGTGACATGTTGAAGTGGATATCCTCTGCTTGAAGGGCTGCAACAGTGTGAAGCTGCATCCTGTCCCAGACAAACTATTGTTGTCCCCTGACTTGTGCAGCCAAGCTTCCTGTCTTCACTGCTGTCAGCTAGGATGCCAGTGAACATATTTCACACCAGAGCCGTCGCTGAAGGGCTGAAGTGCACGTTTCAGCACCGACCACATGCAGCTCTGTCTGCTTTGTGAGTCTCATTTGGAAGAAAAAGCAGTTTTCAAGTCAGGTCTCAAGTCAGGTCTCAAGTTTTTCTTCTCAAGTCTTGAGTCCTTTAAGTAATTCCAGTCAAAATGTAAGTTTTAAATGTGTCTCCCTTGAAGTAATTTAAGGCAAGTGTTTTATCTGACCCTAACTTTAAGACAAGGCACAAGTTATAGTAATTAAGCCGAGTCCAAGTATTTTGTGGCAAATCACAAGTCAAGTCCTGTATAAGTCATTTTAGTCCAAGTCAAGTCTTGAAGCAAATCTCAAGTCAGTCAAAAGTCCTATAAGTAATTCAAGATGAGTTCAAGTAAAGTTTCAAGTATTTTGGTCAAAGTGTCAATTGAAGTCCTTTAAGGAAAGCCTCAAGCCTATAGTCCTTTGGGTCAGGTCCAAGTCAAGTCCCCTGTTTTTATAAGTCACAGGGAAATTGCAAGTCAAGTCTTTTAAAGTCACCATAAAAATGACACATTTGTAGTGTGTTAACATCGCTTGAACTATTCAAGCTGTGGGGCTGCAGTCTCTGTCTTATACATTCAAAAGTTGAGACTCAAATGTTTTCACTATGGAGTAAGTCTCAAGTAAGAAAAGCCCCAAAACTTGCAGCGTAATATATGACTCAAGTCTCAAGTCACAGTTTTTGTGACTGGAGTTTAACCCAGTCTCAAGAGAAATCTTTGTTGTTTCTTCTCATTGCTTTTATTCTCTGGAAAAAAAGGCCTCTGGCTGTAGCCTGGGCGAGGGTGTTTCCTCCAGATGTTTACTGCTAAATGCTGGAAGTAGATTTGGTGCCAGTTTGGACATTTCACTCTCAGGACAATGATCTGTTGTCTCTGTGAGAGAGGGGGCAGTTTGGTTCCCACTGGCTATCTGCTGCTAGATCACCTATCTGCCCAGCACAGAACAGTTTAAAGTTATTTTGGCTCTGCACAAGGAAAACAAACAAATCAAGAGCCACCCTCTTTTTCCTTTACTTCAAGCAAGAGATTCTCATTTGTCACTTTTCCACTTGGGATTTTTCATTCCTGAAGTTCTCACTTGGGCTTAATATCTTATATCAATGATAAAAAATATATTCTACCNNACTGATTATGGCAACATAATAAACTACTTGCAATCTTTTTTTATTAGTTAAAGTGGAGGACAACTGAAGGCATGCACACACACGCACGCATATACACACAGAGACGCGCACACACAGCTTATCTCACTCTGAATTAACGGAAACACACTGTTTGAGTGATCGTCTACGAGGTAAGTGTGTCTTTGGAACAACATTGTGATCTTTATCTTTGCATATACCAAAACAAAATTAAATAAAACAATAAAAAAACCCACACAAGTAAAATTTAACATGATCAATCACAACTACTGTTCCACAACACACAAATAACTTGATAGGAAACCCTAATTGTGTTAATATTTTGACACTGTAAGATATTAGATTAAATTTTCACACATTGCTAAAGAAGGCCATTTTTAGTCCTCCCTCCATTGACAATGCACAGAAACAAGGCTAAATGTAACTGATCTTTGTCAGGGAGAGCTGATTCTATGATATCTAACAGAATGTATCCAGGCAAAAAGCAGTTTGAATGGTTTCCCCCACCTGGTGTGAAGACGTGGACAGATGCAAGCAGAAGGAGGACAAGAACCCTGATTGTCTTCATGTTGAGTCTGCGGTCGTGAACTCCTCTGACTTCTTCCTCAGACTCCAACCGAGTGGCCAGTGGAAAAGGTGTCCGAGCTCGGGTGCTCCACTGCTGATGCTTATTTTGGCACTTCCTTTAGATAAAGAAGGGGAGGAAATACACTGACTTCCCTCCCTGACGTAAAATGGGTGGTTGTGGAGACCAGCGCAAGGCAGCCAGCGGGTGCACACCTATGTATATTAATGAGAATCTCAGTTTTGTGTTTTGAACGCAATGCCAACTCCCATCACTTATTTTTTCCTGCTCTGACACCACTTGACCAGTTAGGAGGAGACTGGGACTTAGAGACGGTGTGAAAACAAATTCATTTGACATCAGTTGGAAAAAAAGATGTCAACCAAGCTTGGAAAAAAACAACATCCAAGAACTGTATGTATAAGTAATTATAGGATAAGATAAACAAATGTGTGAAGTAGGATACAGTGAAGAGATGGTGGCACTGATTCAGAAGCCTCATCCACAGAAAAACAGGAACCACTTGCATCAGTGGCATCAAGTTCACACCCACTGTCACATACACACATCGCCAAAACACACAAATAGAAACACAATTTCTAAATGGAAGTTTTTTTCTGTTAAATAGCGGCTGGAACACATGACAAAGAGCCAAGTCTAGAAAGCTCAGAAGGGTGCTGCTCAAATATCAACCATGACGTTTTACTATTCTTCATTGTTTATGTAAGTGCTTCCAGAAAGCATGGACATGACCTTAGATGAGTCACTGCTGAGGCTGCTTACCATAATCTAAATCTAGTTTCTACTTGTGAGTTAAAGTTGGTAGTTGGACTCCCGGGTAGTTTTGGAAAGAAATCTTATCATTTCATATGAGATGCCAGGTTATCATGGCTTAAGTTACGGACGCTGTGGTCACAACACCATGAAGAGGATTTTTGCTGCAGAACATTAGCTGTTTACTTCAATGTCTCCTTGACATCAAACTCAGTTGGTCTTCACATTGTCCCTCTGAGGATACAAAAAAATCAAGCTCCTGTTATTTGGCCCTCTCGAAAAAAAACAGGATGTCAGAGTTTACTTCCTTTCACTTGAGCATTGTGTTTGGTTTAGGCTGAAAAGACCAAAAGAAGGACACCTCAGAAAGCAGGGACAAGAAAATGTTGGCTGCGTAGTTCCATTTTAGAGTTAGAGCTAGGAGAACTGCTTAAGAAAGTAGAAGTAAGCTGGATTGTTTTGGGGGGGGAAGCTAAAGCAATTCATGTAAATAAGTATAATCAAATAAGTTGATGTTTTAGTACACCCATGTTAAATACATTTTAAAAAAAAAATCTTTGTAAAGGAGGAAGCCTGCAGATATTCGTCCGTACACAGATAGGCCTGCCTGCGCAATCTTGGCTTCGTCTTCGTAGTTTAATCAAAGAAGTCACTAAGGTTGATGAAGAGGAAACACCTTTGTTGCCGATTTGCCAAGGAGCAATTTCCCATCTACATACTGGGACCAGTCAATGGCCAATTCTTCTGTTGAAGGGGAACTTTATAAAGCAGAGCCAAAACACGCAGAATAATATAGAGCGAACACACAGCAGTGTAAGGATGATGGCTCCATATCGTATAGAGTGTGTGTAGTGATGGAAGGACCTTTAAAGCTCTCTCTCCTGCCCCTGTTTGAATGAAATATCGTCTCTATTGTTAGTCTTTCATTTCCCTGCAGGTTTGAATTACGGGCGACGGCGAGTGTGTTTCCTGTAATCTTGTTGGAAAACACACACCACCACATAGCTCTAGAACACAGCTTTATTCACTTGCGATGCAAAAAATGCCCGAAGGACTATGTGTATTATGTATTTAATTTTATTTTACATGGTGCATATTCATTGGCGGAGGACTGTAGGACAGTCTGAGTCACACACACGCACACTCACGCACACAGGCATACACACACACACAGGCGAAGCAGGTTTTTTTCAAGTTGAAATTCATGCACATTTTTATTGAACAGTTATATAAAATACTTTTCATAGTTGCAAGTGCATGCCTCATCTGCCAACAGTTTTGAAGTTAAATTACAAAAGCAAGGCTTCATGTCGTGTAGTGAATTACTTGGGCACTTAAGCAGTTCTTAAAAAAGATCGAAGTATTTTTTTTGTTTCATCTTAAAGTATTGAGCAGTATCAAACCTGTAACTGATATACAAAGCAGAGTTCCAAATAATAATAGTAATAATAATCAAATTACACTTTCTGTGGCACATTTACAAAACAGAACAAAACCGATTAACCTGTTATATGACACAAACAGCTAATCATGCATTTTTGAGTTACACATGTAACCACACACCTCACAAGAATTGTCAAACATGCTTAATTGGACTGTGTGCACTTACAAGCGCAGGTTAAAAATATGATTTCTCATCCATCTTAGATAATTAAATGCTTCAATTACAAAAGAAGTTGAAGGCATAGAGCATCATGGTGTTAATTGAAAGTATGCAGGTATATCCAGTATATGTTCACTAAAGCGTAATATATTTCAAAACAGGCCTCCGCAGCCAAGGTATTCAGATTTTCTATTTCCTTTGTTTGATTTTTATAAAACATGCATAGGCAGACACTTTAAGTTTATTGAATTCTTTTTTTTACACAATATAGGTTCTCTATTTTTACTTTGTTCGCAATACTTAAAAAGAGAAAAATTAACACTCAATTCCAGCAAGCCACAATAAATCTACCCCCCCCCCTTCCAAAAGAGACAAAAAATAAACATATTTGCAAATGATAGATAGGTAAATGTAAATTCCAGTTATGAAACTCAAGAAAATAGGTATTCATTACCGAGTTATTTAGCCATTATACAGAAAAATCAGGTCAAAGCACACACCAAAAGAACCTGAGGTAAGCATAATATGTACAAAACCATAAAACGTTCCATTATTTGGCATTTCAACAACATTGCAACATTCTTTTTAAGACTGCCTAATTAATTTCAGAGCTATTTTATAAGAGTAGCAAAAAAAAGTTATCAATAAATAGTCCTTATTTAGTTTGTACACCCTTATATGTTAAAAACATTATCTCATGTTCTGTCCTTTTTAGTGCTGTATTTTTGTAAACGTACAATAGTTAGTAAGAAGTTACACGACTTTCCATTTCGGTGTAAATGAGCAAGGGTCTTTCAAGGAAAAAAGAAAATAAATCACCTTTAAGATGCCTCTATCCCTCTCTCTCTCTCTC